AATTAAACTGAAAAAATGATCTAGAAATAAGTAAAATTAGCCTTTGAGCAGGTAAATAAAACGATCTGCTAATAGAATGAGTATTTTTACTCTTAAAATAAGGTAATTGGATTCTATGTTCTTGAAATAAGAGAATTGTTCTTTTTATTTTTAAATTTAAATTGTTCTTTTGGCAAAGTGTTTCACTTACCTCCTCAATTCAAGAAATAATGACTAAATTAGATTAATTTTTTGCAGTGTGATTATTAAAAATAATCCCTGCCAGATTAATGGATTATTAAAATAGTCATCAGCTGCAGCTCAGCTTCTCCACCTTCTTCCAGTGGCTGCAAACTGAGAGCGGCTGCAGAGAAAACTTTGCTTCCTGGTTGGACATCCAGAGCGAGGCTGATTTCCTCTGCTAATCAACATGTTTTCGCAGCTCCGATCGGACCAGCTGAATAATTAAACATGTAGTCGACAACATCCTTATTTACCAGAAGGCTTCCCGCCCCGCGCTCCCCTGAGTGTTTGTGTCTCTGTGTGTCACAGCTAACCGAGCGCAGAGCGGCGCCGCCAGCAGCTCCCAAACAGGAGACGCCTTAGGGAAAGCACTCGCCTCGGTGAGTAGCGCGCTCACGCTTTCTGCAGCGGCAGCTCCGTTCTGCTGCGTCCTGGAAGGAATAATCTGGGTATAATCTGGGTCTTTGCTCCATGTTCTCCGCTCAGATCTACTCTCCAGATCACACCAACAACAGCTTCTCCTCCAACCCCTCCACCCCCGTGGGATCACCGCCCTCGCTCACAGGTAAACGCTCACATTTACACCAACCAACCAGAGGGGGGTCAGAACCTGGATGGACCTGAGGACAGTCAGAACCTGGATGGACCTGAGGACAGTCTGCCTGCATGTCCAGGTTCTCAGTCATTCAGAAACCACGAGTCAGGCTGTAATGTCGGCCAACTGGACGTTAGAATAATGGAGCCAGGCGCCAGCTGGCTGCGATTTAAACTGGTTTTCTGGGAGAATTTTTGCCGTTAAATACCTAAGAAATAAATGTTTTTAAATGATTTATAGACGCAGCATAGATGGGCTTCAAAGATGTTGGATTTATCCCAGTTTATCCGGTCCACTCCTCCTCCAACATGTCTGACCCATGTTCAGAATCAGAATCAAGGTTATTGCCGAATAAGTTTGCACTTACAAGGAGTTTAACTTGGTGTTGATGGTGCAGACTGCTTATAAATATATATATACAGGATACAGGACCTATAGCTATATAAAATATAAAACATAATAAATATACTAGATACAATATGCTGGTCCGGTTCCTGATGTCTCTGGCCCGGTCCAGATGAAGCTGGGTTTCAGGCGGCCGCCATGAAGGACGGGTTAGAGCATGAAATCAGCAACATGGATGGACTTTGTTTCCAAGTTTGAAGACGTTTCTCTTCCATCCAGGAAGCTTTTTCAATCC